GAAATCAAGAGACTTATCGATAAATCAGTCGGTGAATTGCATATGCGCCGCGCAGCTCCGCAGCCCTGGGCGAAGTAAACCTAGCCGCTCTGCTGAGCGGCGCGCGCCGCGCCACGCCGCCACCGCGCTACGCCACCGCGCCGACCTACCACCTGTTCAAAGCAATGCTGAAATACCGCACCAGTCCACTTATGCGCGCCGTTACTTACCGCGCCGCTGACGAAAAGCCCCGCACCCGACGCCTGCCAACGAGTGATACAAGATAGCGGAGCACCTCAATCAGTAACCCCCGGCGACGCGTGAGGTGTGAGCAGCGTCAAGGGTGCTGGCCGGGGATTTAAGTAGTGAAAGTGGAATGACTTTGGACTCGGTGACGAAGGTAAAAGTCGTGTTTGTTTTCGGTTCGGTCACCCTGTTTCAAAAAACCAGCGGGAACCCCTTGTGCCTCCTCTGTCCTCCAGAGTAGGTCGGCTAGCCGCGTCCTCCGCGGACCATGGAGCATGCGTGGCTCGGCCGTTATCACTGGGTTATCTCTCAAGTTCGGCGCGGGGCTTACGGCCGCCACAGGATGGCATTATCATCTCCAGCAGGAGGCAGCTGCTGCCGCCGTCCAGCAGGATGCCGGCTGGGATGGGCCGCCCCGCCAAGGAGACTACTACTACTGCGCGATGGGCAGAGTTTGCACAACCCCCCGCGCCGCCGGCCGCGCACCGCGAGCCGCGAGCCCAAAGTAGTAGACTCGCACCTCGCACCTCTTCTGCCGGGCTTCCGCCGCGCTTCCGCCGCCGAGCACCAGCACCTCGCAGGGAACCCCTCTCTTCTCTCGGATCCCTTCCCTCCCCCTCCCGAGCGATTCACGGCCAAGCGCGGCCAGGCGCGGCCATTGCTGCAGCAGCGCATTGCGCGGCTCACTCAGCTGATGGGGCGGCGGCAGTTTCAAACCCTTTTCAGGCACGAGCCGGCCCGGGCCGCGAGGCTGGACGTGGCGGGGCGCGGCGGGGCGGGGCGGGGCGCGGCGGGGCCAGAGACCTGCAGTCCGTCAGAGCAACGATGCATATTTCTTGCACAAAGGCGGCAGAGGGAAAGGAGCGGGGCGAACGCTCAGACTGGAGGGAGAGGGGAAGAGTGCGGCGGGGCGAGAAGAAGGAGGCGGAGGAGGAGGAGGGGTGTTTCGACATCTGAAAATGAGAGGGCCGCGCTGGATCTGCTTCGCCGCCGCCGCAGCCGCTGCTGCTCCGCTCATGCTGCGCCGGCGGAGCCGACCCCTGCGCGCCGAGCAGGACCAGGACCAGCAGGACCCCGGGCCGGCCGGCACACGGTGCATGCCTACAACGTCTCGGCCGCAATCGAGCCGCAATCACTCTCTGAGCGCGCTCATTACCTCTGTGGCAGGCCGAGGGGCAGCTGCTGGCCCCACGTCCGACGGGCCGCGAGCACGTCCCGGGTGGGGTGCGTATGGGGCCGGGCCCGGGCCGTGTCAGCTCGGCTAGCAGCAGCAGCAGCTGCAGCAGCAGCATGTCGGCAGCGGACGACTGACTGGACACTGATCATTACGCCCGAAAAAGACGGTGAACCTTGCGCCGGACTTGACGCTGACCACACACACACACCAGTTCCGGTGGCACCGCCGGTAGCCCGCGGCTGCGGCTGCCCCGTTGTATGGGCACAACCAGCCACAACTGCGTCAGGCGGCGACTCCGCGCGCTAGCAGCGGCGGGGCGTGTCCGTCCGGGGCGTGTCGAGGCGGGCGGGAGGATGTGTAGTTAGTTAGGGAGTCGCAGACACTGAAAGTCCCGGACTGCGAGTTGTGTTTGTTACGTGATGTATTTCGTCGTATGGAGATTGTCGTCACATTTGAACACGTTTTTCATTTGCAAAAAAAAAAAAAGGAAAGAAA